ACTGCTTCTACCACCCCCCGCCCCAGCACCTGGGATGCTGACTTATCCGTGTGACGATCTGATGGGCTGGGGCAGCCCCATGGGAAGACAGCTGGAAGGACGTCTGGGCTCAGGAACACACAAGTCCTGACAAAGAGCTCCACCCGGGCAGTGGCGCGGGTATCCAGGCGCCCAAGGCTGCAGGTCTCGGCCAGAGCCCAGAGCCGGGGTAAAAGAGGCCAATCCCAGCAGGTCCCGTCCTTCCATGGGCGCCGGTGGGAGGCGGAGGCTGACTCAGGCCCTGACTCAGCAGGGCTGCCGCTGGGGTGATGGAGGGGGTCCCCCGGGGCCCCGGCCCACCCTGAGCACCCTTTCCTGGGCGTGTTCTGGGAATGCATTTTAGAGGTCCTAAGTGGAGCCTGTGGCTTCCTTCCTCTTGGAGTTCAAAGACATTTTCTGGGCTGGTCCCGCGGCCTCTGAGCTCAGGGCTTGCCCCTCACGGAGCTTGAAAGGAAATCCTTCACCATCTTCAGCGTGATGAAATTGGTTCATGGTCACCCCGATCTCATTCGCTCGTTCACGTGTTCATTCATTAGTTCCTCCCTTCCCTCCTTCTCCCGTGTGTTCACCGTGGGCCTGCTGGGCCCTGGGATGCTGTGAGATGCAGGGGACGTGGGCCTGCCCTGGGAACCTTTCTCCTGCATCAGCAAAGCCAGTAAGCGGCGGAGAACCCTGAGCTAGGACCACGGGCTGGGGAAGGCCTCCAAAGACCTCAGCTGAGAGCAGAGGCATGACTTGGGCAAAGGGCAAAGGAGGGTTTTGGGGGCACAGGTGGAGGTGAGTGGGCTGTGTGGTCAAGCTCTACGGGCCGTGCGGGTGGCTGAAGCCGGGGTGTGAATGGAGGAGACCCTGGGCGGGGACTGCGCTTGGCAAGGCCTGGGGAGTGGAGGCTGGGGGCCTGGGAGGTCGGGGCGGCAGGTAAGGGCGAGAGTGAGGAAATGGGGAGGGGTTCAGGGGGCGCCAGGCTGGCACTGTGGAAGCGCGGCTTCCCCAGACCTGCAGCAGGAGGCAGGAGGGACGTAGCTGGGGCTGGGGGCTGAGGGTGAGAGGCCGGGCGCACAGCGGGGGCAGCTGGACAGAGAGGCCCCCGGGGCAGTGCCTCCCTGCGGGGGCTCCTAGCCTCCGAAGGTCTCCCCGCAGCGTGCTCAGGCCCGGGCCCTGGCCCCTTCAGGGCTGGCCTCTAGAGGTGGAGACCATCCTGGCCCAAGGTCATGGCTTCCCTGGGCTGGCCACATCCAGAGACACTGGCAGGCCCGTGCACAAGGTCTGACCGACTGCAGTCAACTCCTGCCCGCACTGGTGGCCCCTCTGGTTCCAGAGCTCCGGCTGGGTCAGTCCTCGGTCCGGGCCTGCATCCTTGCCCTCCCGGCCACAGTGGCCACCCCGGGCCATCATGAACTGATATCCTGGTTCCCGAAGTCCGCCCTGAGTAGCTTCCCCCCACTGCCCATGCTGCCCCCACCCCGGTGCCCACCCCCAGGGGTGGGGCTGAGACTCCGGCAGAGAGGGCGGCTCAGCCCGCCAGGGGTGCTGGGGACTGCCCCACCCGCAGCAGAGGCACAGTCGAAGTGTCAGCAAGGGGCTTCTGGAGGCCTGAGAGCTGTGACTTGTGCAGATTCCTCGCTCGGAGACCCGTCCCCATCGCCACACACCCCTGCACACCCCAAGGCCCAGTAACCAAAACGCTGGCGGAGACCGCTCTGGGAGGCCCTGGCTCCCCCTAGGTCTTCCCAGGAGCCAGCCCTGAACCATTCACTTGTGTGAGCCCAGCTTACTTGGGAGGGGACCCCAGGAGACATGAGGAGGGTGTGAAGGAGGGTGGCAGGGAGGGGACCCAGCTATTATGGCCGGCGTCATCAGGCACGTCACCTCTGAGGCTGCTGGGGCTCAGTCCCCGGACCCCTGGGGAGTGCTGGGGGCCGGGGGTGGGCGCAGCTTGGTATGGCCCCTGCTGTGGGCAGTCGGCTGCCCGCTCCAGGCATGCTTGAGTGGGGGGCCGCTTCTGGGCATCTGGGCTTTGTCTGACTCGGGGCCAGAGACAGCGTCTGTCCGCAGAGGCAGCAGAGACACCCTCCAGGGGGGCTGCCCCTGGGAGGGGCAGGAGCTCCATGGGTGTATCGCTGCTGACACCCTGGTCACCCGGCTCCTCGCCCAGCAACGGAGGGGCATCCTATTTCTTTATCCGAGGAGCTTCTGCTGGCCCCCAGTCACCTGGGACCCTCAGCCAGGAAACCATGCGCTGGGCAGAGTTGGGGAGGGAGCATCCGCCCCGGCCCCCGGCCCCAGCGTGCCCCCCAGGTGTCTGAGGGGCAGGCCATGGGGCTGGAAGCTTGAATCCAACGGCCAGGTCTGAACCGACGTTCCACCTGCCAGGCCTGCGGGCTGCCCTGGGCGCCCGGCAGCCAGCCTTTGTCCCGTGATCACAGGCGCCCCGCTCCGGACCCAGCTTGTTTCCCAGACCAAGCCGGGCAGGCAGGAGCTCCACAGCCGTGGAACCGACACAGATCACCTGTCCCGCCCCGCTCTGTGCTCTGCCCAGCCGCTGTCTCAGACCTGGTCCACTCTGTGGACCTGGTGCTCTGGCCCGGGCCCAGCCGCGCTCCGGGCAGACCGGGACTCGGTCTGAGGGCCCAGCGCCCCTCAGCTGGGCCGCTGCAGAGAGAGCCAGGGGAGCCCCAGGGGTCCCCTCACCTGCTCCCGGCACTCAGGGCTCCGAGGATCGCAGGTACTGGGGGCTCTTTCCTCTGCCACGTGCCCCCCACTTCTTCTCTCCAGCTGCTCGCCCCTGGGGCCTGGGCAGGGGGCCGGATCAGAGCCTTGCTCCCTGATCAGAACTGCCCCAGTATGAGACAGGCTGTCTCGAAAAGTGGTGAGCTCCCCATTGTGCTAGATGAGGAACTGCTAGAGGAGACTCCTGGAGCCGCTTTACGGGAGTCCCAGTGTGCGTGGAGAATAAGTGACTGAATGAATGGGCGTGGGAAGGGCTCTTTCACTCATGAGTTCATTGTCTCATTCTTTTGTTCAGTGAAGACCAGTGGTGTCCACCTTTGGGCTAGTCCCCGGGCAAGGGCTGGGCAGGTAATGGTCATTACAGTCTTGGCTGCTGCCTTCATGGCAGGCAGAGGCCTGTGGATAAGCGGACTTGGGGGAGACATACATATTCGGCCCCCAGTCAGGCAGATTGGGAGCCCAGAGGAGTCTCAGAGGTCAGGGGTTCAGTGCCGGATCCTGTTGGTGGGGAAACCGAGGCTCGGGGGGTGACCATGCCACCCGGAACCTGGGTCATGCCCCAGAGCTTCGGGTCCACAGTCACCCACGCTGCAAAGGCCCTGGAACTTCTGAGGGAGGGAGCCCCTTCTCCAGATTTGGGGAGAGACCCGGGAGCAGCGCCATGAATGAGGCTGGACGCTGCATATTTATTCAGCAAGGCCCCCAAAGAACGGGGCACACGTCAGGCTGGGCTGAGGACCACCACGAATATCTGAGGAGACTCTGCTCCTGGGATAGTATTCCAGGTTAGGACAATCTTGCTTCCCAGGTGGCTCCATGGTAAAAAATCCACCTGCAGTGCAGGAGACCTGGGTTTGATCCCTGGGTCAGACCCAAGGAGCCACCAGCACCCCCAGACCCGAGAGGAGAGGACAGAGACCTCACCTCCCCACGGGAGGAGAAGCAGGACATTGGCAGCCATATTTAGCACTGCTACACGACTGCCTATTCCTAGCCTCCAATTTCTTCCTCTGTGCTTTGAAAACTGCCGTCGGCCAAGCGAATGAAAGTTGCTCAGTTGTGTCTGACTCTTTGTGACCCCATGGGATGTAGAGTCCATGGAATTCTCCAGGTCAGAATACTGGAATGGGTAGCCTTTCCCTTCTCCAGGGGCTCCAGGGGATCTTCCCAACCCAGGGATCAAACCCAGATGTCCCACATTGCAGGCAGATTCTTCACCAGCTGAGCCACAAGGAAAGCCCAAGTACACTGGAGTGAGTAGCCTATCCCTTCTCCAGTGTATCTTCCTGACCCAGGAATTGAACTGGGGTCTCCTTCATTGCAGGCAGACTCTGTATTAACTGAGCTATCAGGGAAGCTGCTGTCAGCCAAGGCTGGGCTTAAATCTTAAGCCAGAAAACGTTCCTAATAACTCCTACCCTTAGTAGCACTTTCTGCTCACACACACGCCCTTGGTTAGGACCCCTTTCTAATGGATAACGAGGGTGGCCCTGAGTGTGAGACTCCTCACCCTGCCTGTGTGCTCACATGTGTGTGTTCTTTTTTGGTTCTCAGAGCAACCCTGTGAAACATTTCAGAGGAGGGGGGCATCTCACCTGGAGTTTTTCAGGATGAGTAGGAGTTCTCCAGACAGAATCTGAAAGAAGGTGTGGTGAGCTTGGGCGCATGCACAGTCAGGTGTGGCTGGAGGTCAGAGCCTCGCTTCCCTTAGAGCAAGGAGCTGTTAGTGGGGTGTGCACCAGACAGCCCTGACTCTAGCCCTAACCATTCTGGCCCCACCTGCATGAAGACTGGCAGCTGGCCCAGGACACGCTGGGGCTGGCGCTTGCCCACTGGCATCCCCCAAAAGCTGGTCTGCCTGTCTTCTCTGCTTTACATGGTTTCAAGAGTCCTTCTAAGCATTCTCTGGGGTAGGTGGGTGGGCACTGTTAGCCCCATTTCACAGATGAGAAAACTGAGGCTCTGAGGGGTTCCTCTGCAATCCAGGTGGAGTGGGAGGGCTGGGACCAGGGATTGGGAGCTCCTCGGGTCTGCCCCACACCCTCATCCTTCGGGACTGACCTCAGGCAGGGCGGGAAGTTCTTCCTCTCCCCCAGCACCCCAGCTGTCCCTGCAGCTCCCCACCCCTCGCAGCCCTGACCACATGGCCCAGAAAGGCCGATTCAGAGCCAGCTGCAGCCAGCCGGGCCTCTGGTTTAGATCAGCAGGCAGCGGAGAGCCTGGTCACGTGCTCACTCATGTCCACTGCTCCTTGGGGCCACGGGCGGGGGAGGGCGAGAACTCGGAGGGAGAGGTGCTGGATGAGGGGGAGCCAAGGCCTCTGCCACCAGCTTGGGCCCGGCTTCCCCTCCCGTCCAGTCCTTCGGTTCTGGCTCTTGAAAGCCTTCCTCCACCCGCCAGGTAGCCAGCCAGCCCCGGGGCCAGTGCGCTGCTGCCTGCCTGCTCCCGCCTGGCCCGGTCACCCCGAAGAGCTGACAAAAGCCAGCTGCCCTCCCAGCGGTCGCCCGGCAGGCAGACACCCGGAGGCGTGACGCCCGCCCTGGTCTGGCACCGGAGGCTGCCAGGAGGGCCCTTGGAAAGCTCCACTCCACTCCCACTCCCAGGGGCTCTGCAGCTCCTTTCCGGAATGGCTTCCCGATGAGGTCATGCCGCTCGGAGCGAGGGAGGAGGCCGCCGGGAAATGCTGCTGGCCAGGGCCCCAGTTCGCCTGGAAGATGGCTGCCCGCGGCCTCCGGCCCCGCGGGGAGAGGACGCGGGGACGGGGTGCTTGGTGGCCTCGCCTGGGGCGGCCAGGACCCGGGACGTTCGTTCCTCTGCCGGCCTCGATGCTGCAGCCCCAAGGCCTCACTGAACCCAGAGCCGGGCCTGGGACCGCCGCGGTGCCCGTGGGGAGCTGAGGCTGGCTAGGCGGGAGTGGACGCTCACTGGGCCACGAGGGAGGGAGGGCCCTGGCCGACCCGCGGGCTCCGACCTGCCAGGCTGCGTGTTCCTGGACCGCAAGTCCCTTCCGGCCACGGGGCAGAGAGCTCGAGGCTGCCCGCCTTCCGGGGCTGGGGCTGAGCGGGCCCATGCGGAGGCTGGCTGGGGCCCACCCTGGGGCCCCTCCACCCACGTTTCCCTCGAAGCCAGGCCCCCTTCCCTGCAAAATGGGACCTGCCCGCAGGGAGGTGGGGAGACACGGCAACTGAGCGTAGGAGTGTCCCCAGAGGTGACTCCCCTCCCCACCCCCGGAGGCCGCAGGAACTGGCTGACCCTGCAGCCCTGGGGCCTCTCACGGGGAGAATGGACTTTAAGACCTGATACCGCCCACGAGGGCCGGCGAAGCAGGGCTCACAGAGGCCTCCTCGGGTCCCCCCTGGGGCCTGGGAGCCGGAGGAGGCCACCTCCGCTGCGCGGGGCCCAGCTGGAGGCCCGGCAGGACCCCTGCCCTTGGCGGCTTGGGGACGCTGGGGGACGCTCTCGCGCAGAGCGAGAGCGCAGCCCTTGGCGGCATCCGCAGCCCCAGGGCTCTGTCTCCGCCTCCGATGGGCCGCGTAGCGTCAGCCAAGCCCTGCTCCCATCTGCAGACTGGAGGCTCGTCCACCCCCGGGCCTGACGACCCAGGACCAAGCCTCGCAGCTATGCGGGGGCAGCCGGTCTCTGGGTTTCAGCTCAAATGTCTGTGTTGGAAGAGACCCAGTGGCCACAGAGGGGCGCCCCGAGTGCAGAGGAGGGCCGGGTGCGGGAGTCAGCAGCAGGGCCAGGATCCGAGCCCAGCCTCCTCCGCTGGCCCTCAGTGACCCGGCTGGGCCTCCTGTCCCCCGCCCGCCTCCCCTTCTCGGAGCACAGGCTCCCGGGGCGGATATGCTCCCCTCTCCTGCCCCCTGGTGGCTGGAGTCACACATGGCGGTCCAAATCCCTCGCCCAGCAGGGTGGAGTACCCATCAGTTCTGTTCAGTTCAGTCGCTCAGTCGTGTCCGACTCTCTGCGACCCATGGACTGCAGCACGCCAGGCCTCCCTGTCCATCACCAATTCCCGGAGTTTACCCAAACTCATGTCCATTGAGTCGGTGATGCCATCCAACCATCTCATCCTCTGTCGCCCCCTTCTCCTCCTGCCCTCAATCTTTACCAGCATCAGGGTCTTTTCCAATGAGTCAGCTCTTCACATCAGGTGCCCAAAGTATTGGAGTTTCAGCTGCAGCATCAGTCCTTCCAATGAATACTCAGGACTGATCTCCTTTAGGATGGACTGGTTGGATCTCCTTGCAGACCAAAGGACTCTCATGTCTTCTCCAACATCACAGTCCAAAAGCATCCATTCTTCGGCGCTCAGCTTTCTTTATGGTCCAACTCTCACATCCATACATGACCACTGTACCCACCTATTACAGACACCCACAAACTTGCAGCACCCGTGGTCTGGGACGCCCACAGGGACACAGCTGCGCTCCCTAAGAGCCCTGGTCAAGAGCACCACTGTGCCCCCCCAGGGCATGGTACAGACAGGAGGTACCTGGCTCTCATCTACCCCTGTGCCCTGGAGCAGGGGTCCCCAGCCTCTGGGATCTAGTACCCGATGATCTGAGGTGGAGCTGATGTAATGATAGAAGTAAAGGGCACAGTAAATGCAATGCGACTGGATCATCCCGACGCCATCCCCCCATCCTGTCCGTGGAGAAATGGTCTTCCATGAAACTGATGAAACGGTCTTCCATGAAACGGGTTCTTGACACCACAAGCTGAGGGACCACGCCCTGGAGCCTCCCGCCTCAGGCGGGGCGCATGCAGGGAGGCGGGGACCGCGTGAGCCTGCAGGGGGCCCTGCGCAGCTGGATGCAATTAGGAAAGCTGAGAAGTTATTGTTTGGGGTTAAGTCGAAACTGATCTCCCCAAGGTGACGGCCAGACACCTCAAGGATGTGTTCCCCTGATGGAGCCCCTCGGGCGCCAGGAAGCAGGGCCCCTGGATTCCAAGGACGTGAGGAAAGAGGATAGTGAGGGTGCCACTGCCCCCCCCTCCCAGGGCTGGTCCGGCAGGACAGCAAGGCGTGGGGGTCTCCATCCCACCCTCCAAATCCCAGCCCCGTCCACCTCTCACCAAGGCCCTGCCCTGGCCCGGCTCCACTGTCGGTCAGCCCAGCCCTGCCTGGTCTCCACGGGGGTCTCCCCAACCTTTCCTCTGCCTCTGTCCACCACCTGAGCAGTTTTCTTAAAATTTCAAATGGCCCAGTCCTGACCCCTGGCCCTGGGGGAGGCCTCACAGTACCCCTCAAGGTTTCCCTAGTCCAGACCCCACCTTGCATCTCAATTTCCTTGGCTTCTGACACCTACTTCCTTTGTTTGTCCCATGACAGCTAGGGGGCATTTCAGCCCATTTCACAGATGGAGACACTGAGGCCAGGGAGCAGAAGGAGCATTCAGAAGGTCCCAGGGTGAAGGCGGCAGAGCCAGGCCTGAGTGCAGGGTCTGAACCCCCATCTGGGCCCACCAACCCCCTACCCCCTCCCAGTGTCCACCAGACAGAGGCCCATGGGACCCAGGAGCTGGGGGGAATGGGGGTGCGGGGCTGCCGCCACCTCCACCAAGGGACACAGCCCAACTCTTGGCCTTGAGTGGCCTCCAGCGCGCGGGGCAGCCAGGCTGCAGGGGGCCTGGAAACTTGACCATGGCTGTTTATTCAGCTGTCTGAGTTGGCGCCGGCTCCCCCACTGGGTCTTCTGGAGTTAAAACAGTCGGCCCTGTCCCCACCTCCGGGCAGTGACCTGCTCAGAGCCGGAGTCCCCTGCGGGCGGTTTGCAGGACCCCGGGGGCCACCCTCTCAGAGCCGGAGGAAGCATCTCCCCTCCCCATCGGGCAGAGTCCCTGCGAAGGAGAAGCAGAGAGCATCCTTGGTTTGGGTTGTGGAACATTTAAAGAAGGGACGTGGGCGCAGAGCTGAGGACTAGCTGCAGGCTTCCAGCAGTCCTCTGGGGCTGGTGGTGGAGGGGTGAGGGGGGGACTGGGTCCCAAACCTGGAGCCGGCTGCTGGGAGAGGACCCCCCACCCTGAGTCCTGCCGGGGCGCCTCCCACTGGCTGAGCCCAAAGGGACGTCAGCGCTCAGGGAGACTGTTGATGCCTCCCTCCACCCAGGTCAGCCTCTGGGAGGCTGGAATGGGCCGAGAGTGGGTCTGCAGATGCAAAGAGAAAAGGGGGCAGCAAGCACCCCGAGGAAGGGAGCCTGTGCCTGTAGAACATTCCTCATGGGGCTGGGGGTGGGGGCAGCCATGGTACTTTCCTGCAACTGAAGCACAGAGAACACCGCTTGGAGCCAAACCAAAGGATGAAGCTCTTTGGCCTTTCTTTAGAAGCTTGCTGATGTCTCATCCAGGGGCGGCATATAAATCCCCTCCCCACGGGTGTGGGGGGAGGCCCTGATGGCCCCGGTGAGTCCAGAGTGTGGAAGGGCACCGGGGGGGTTCAGAGGCTGGGCTGTGACTACCCCAGCCTCCGCCTGGCTCTCTCAAGCACCAGCTCTAGGAAACCAGCGGGTGAGGGCCACCTCTCGCAGGCGAGAGCTGACACTGCCCGACGTGTGAACGAGGCTGCCTGCCCCGATTCCAGCCCCCCCCGGGGGCTCTGAACCACCTCCAGCAAGGCCCCGGACCTGGTGGAACAGACGTGAGGCATTCCCACTGAGCCCAGTTCAAATTCTGGACCCAGGGAGGTCCTGAGGGTGATAAACCGACCGCGACAAGCCCCCGTCTTCTGAGGTGACCTGTCAGCAGCTCACCCAGCATCTGGAACAGGCATCAGACAGAAGTCGGTCCTTTCTGCACCGGAAATGAAGGGATTTCTGCACTGTCTGTGTGGACAGTGTTGAACCACCAGCTTCTCTCTCTTTACTCTGAATGTCTCCTTCTAACCTTCACGGGCGCCCCACTGCTGGAGTGCAGGGAGGCAGGGAGCAGGCCCCGGGCAGGGAGCGGTGGGGGAGGGGCGGAGGGGGAGGATAGGGGTGGCAGCGCCCGGGAGTTAGGCAGAGGCGAGTCCGCCAGCACAGCCCCAACCTCCAGAGGCCCCCGGCTGGGATGACGGGGTGACCAGGGGCTCCGTGTTCCCATCACAGGGTCACGGGATCAAGGGGTCAGCCAAAGAGGAGAAAGCGAAGGGGGCCGTGGAGTGAATCACTGGCTGAGGCTGAGGGGTGGTGCCCTGAGGACATACAGACCCGCTGAGCATGAACCTGCCTCGGCAGCCTGCCTCTCTTCTTCCCCTGCAGGAGTGACAGGCGGGGGGCTGGGCCGGGGTCAGGTCAATGGGCTTGTGCTGGCGGCTTGGCAAGCAGGGGCCACTGTGCCCCGGCAGCCTGATTCGGATTGAGTCCTGACGCCTCTGACTCTAACCATAGAGAACAACTTCTGCATATCTCCACTTTGCCTTGTTGCCTTGGCTGCTGGGGAGCTCTGAACCAAAGCCGCGAGCTTATCTCTGGCTCCACTTAGACTAAACTCATTTTTAAAAACTTAACTGCATTTTTATTTATTCTTTTATTTTTGGCTATCTGGGTCATTGCTGCCTTTGCAGCCTTCTCTCTAGGCTTCAACAGTATATGAACAGAGAACTTCCAGATGTATGAGTTGGATTTAGAAAAGGCAGAGGAGCCAGAGATCAAACTGCCAACATCCACTGGATCATACAAAAAACTAGAGAATTCCAGAAAAACATCCACTTCTGTTTCATTGACTACCCTAAAGCCTTTGACTGTGTAGATCACAACAAACTCTGGAAAATTCTTCAAGAGATGGGAATACCCCACCATCTTACCTGCCTCCTGAGAAACCTGTATGCAGGTCAAGAAGCAACAGTTAGAACTGGACATGGAACAA